CCCCTCCCTTCCATCCACCCTAACCGAAAAATATGGCCCTTTTGTCTTTAAATCTTTTATAGTTTTTTTTCCTCGTGTGTCTTGCAATAAATCACTGCGCCTCTGTCAGAAATGGGGGATTTCCCGCGACGAAGACTGCAAAAGATTAGTAAATGGCGAACATGTCAATAATTTTTTGAAAATAGCCACCAGACCGCGGTGAAGGGAAAATGTTGAAAAGGTGACTGGCTATTAAGTACTTATTGAGAGGGATTTTGCGCTGTACAAGAGTTATTTTATAACAACAAAGTTCAGCTCTTACTAAATCTAGATTATTTACAATGTGGTTGTCCATTAAAGAAAAGAACCGACTTGAAAGTGACCCGAAGACAGATTTCCAGAATCTGGAATAAGATGGTTTGTCTAACTGGAAAGTTGTCGGCTCTTTCTAAGTTTTCACATCGTGACGAGTCAATTTTATATTCAGTAGTGGGATTTTCCAGCAGCTTTCTTGCTTTTCCTTATGGTCGTTTTTGTATTCTTTTTTTTTTTGTTTTGGTTGTTGTCTAACCTCTTTGATTGTTGGCACCAATTTCTTTTTCTTTCCTCATCTTCTTTTTCTTTCCTCATATATAGTCATTTTTCGTCTATTTCTTATGTTTGTCACTCTCTTGTGAACCGCTATTTCCGGGGTGCCTTGATAGTCGAGGCAGACTTTGTGTTGTTGAGGCTAGAGAGGTGAGCAGATAAAGCCTGATTCCCTGTTTAGACTTCTCTGTTGACATTCACCCCTTGGCGCTTATATGACCGTTGAAAAACCTTCTAAGAACAAACAAATACCCCAATTTTTCTCAATATTTCTCTGTTTCTTCTGTTCCCAGATATTCTCATGTACAAAATAAAACTGCTGGACTGCCAAGTCACCGGACAGATCTATCCTTCGTCAACGCAGAGCAGTTAATCGAACAAGCCATGTGCACTTATGACGTCATGTGTATGAATACTTGGAGTGCATGACGTCACGCTTTCCTCTCCATAGGTGGAACGTTGATCATCGTAGTCTGTTGCCCCGGCTAAGAGCTACGTCACAGGGAGTGATATATCGCCGGAAACAGAGACGGACGAAGGCTCGCTTTGGACATTTTGCAGACGTTGCAATTATAACCGTTGTCGCACGTTGAAAAAAAAAAGAAAGGAAGTGTTCAGAAAGTGTTTCGAAGTGTTCTGAGACCAGACTGTTGTTGTATAGGACTTGTGTGTTGCCCCCTCCCCTCACACCCTCTCCTCTCCTCCGCCTCTCCATCCCCTTCCTCCTGCCCTCCCCAACGGTTGGTCTGTGCCGCCGCTTGACGTTCGTTCGCTGGTGTCGCCCACGGCTCCTGTTGCCACCCGATGGTCTGTGAACGCTGTTGTGAGTCTCCGGGGCCTTATGGCAACTGAAGACTACTTCCTGGTGAGTACTGATTGTTTTTCTGCTCTATTTTCTTTGTGTGTGTTGTCTTTTTGTGTGTTTATGTGTGTGTGTGTGTGTGGGGGGGGTGTCAGTGTGTCTGTCTGTGTGTCTATGTGTGTCTGTGTGTGTCTGTATGCCTGTGTGTGTGTGTGTGTGTGTGTGTGTGTGTCTGTCTGTCTGTCTGTCTGTCTGTCTGTCTGTCTGTCTGTCTGTCTGTCTGTCTGTCTGTCTGTCTGTCTGTCTGTCTGTCC